CCCCTCTTCCGCATGTGTGGTTCTGCTTTGGCTACATCATGGGGAGAGTTCCTTTTGCCCCTTTCGGTTCCTTTTCTGAGCGAGCCAGGGTTTGCTGGAAGAAGGAACAGCAGAGAGGCAGCAACCATGTGGTCGCATCTCAAAATGGCTGCCTCCTCTCTGCTGTCCCGACAGTCAGCTGTTCGGCGCGAGAGTCAGGCTGTTCCCAGGCTAGGAGCGGGACTCTACTCACTGTTACTACCAGGTAAGTGACTTCGCTGGGAGAGAGGGAGGGTTTGCTGGACATGCACCCGGCGTACAAGACGACCCCCCCACTTGGAGGCATGTTTTTCAGGGCCAAAAAGTCGTCTTGTACGCCGGCAAATATGGTACATTTTTCAAAATACATCCTGTTGCTGGCTTTCTGCAAACACAAATCACAGGGTGACCCTCTGTTGCTACCAGGTAAGTGACTTCGCTGGGAGAGAGGGAGGGTGTGCTGGACATGCACCCGGCGTACAAGACGACCCCCCCACTTGGAGGCATGTTTTTCAGGGCCAAAAAGTCGTCTTGTACGCCGGCAAATATGGTACATTTTTCAAAATACATCCTGTTGCTGGCTTTCTGCAAACACAAATCACAGGGTGACCCTCACGCAACTCTATCAAGCAGGTTAGGCTGAGACAGAGTCTACCCAAATGTGACCCAGTGAGCTGCAACGCCAAACGGGTTTGACTTGCGATTCCCCAGTCCTAGACCAGCACTCTAATCACAACATTGTGCTGGTTCTGCAGGTTAAAAGAACACAGAGATTCAGAAAACTATCTCATGGTGAGAAATGCACCACCAATAAGCATGAGGTCTTATAGAAGAAAAGAAAAGAAAGGTAACTTCTTGTCTTACAGAATCACTGTCTAAAAACACATCCAATGTAGAGTAACAATAGGTTAGAAACATAAATTGCACTTTTTATAGCCTGCAGTTTACAGACTAGCACAACAGTGGATCATTCTTGCCAGGGTATTCTGAGTGTTGTAATCCAAAAGAAAGTAACTTCTGCAACTCTGGTTAAGAACATATCCTCGATCTGGCTGCCTCATTTCTCCTTCCCTCCAAATTCATTTTCCAGTTCTCTTCCTTCGAAACACCCAGATTACTCTGGTACATGGCTGTTCTGTCAGGCCAGCCTTTCTTTTCCCTGAAGGTGGGTTTTAGAAAAGAAATAGGCAGTCCGTCTGCTTTGTTCCATTGACAAATATAAGTGGTACTCTCGGCACAAAGTCTGGGCCAAGATGATATACTAGGTCATTATGAAGAAAAATGACACTTCTGGACGGGCAGATGTCTTTTCTTTGGCTGCAAAGACAGGCTGACGACTCAGGGGGCTGCTATTACCTGAAGCTTTGGTGAGCTCACAATGTCCCTGGGCAGAAGTGCGCTTGCGATAGGCTTCTCCATGTGTTTAATCCAAACTTCTTTGACCAATCAGAGACATTTTAAAGGGTTCATTTTAACAAATGGCTTCACTTTTTGACATTGACGTTGTTGCTTAAGGGCTTCCAAATGTGGCATGTGAGTGCAGTGCTTAGCTTGATCTGAAACCCAGTGTTTTATGCAGGGCCATAGCAACTGTGGGAGAAAAAGAGCAGGTGAAAAGAGGAGCAGGTGGCAGTATATTCAGATATACTGAAGGCAATTTTTAAGGGTTTCCTCCCTTAAGGAGCATATCCAGCAATTGCAAAGAGTCAAATACCCAGACATCATGGCTCCATTATTTGACAATGTGCATAAATAAAACAATCTGAATAAAGAGAATGATAATGTAGCTGCTTTTATTGGTAAGTGTTACGCATACTTGGATAAATGGCAGCTTTGTTTGATTAGTGTGTATTGGCAAAGAATAATACAGGGGCTATATTGCAGACTTGGATAGCTAGAAGAATGTTTTCACCTGGTCATGAAAGACAGAGTTTGCACATGGCAGTAGTTATGGGAGAAGACACCAGGGCTTAGAGATCGTACTCATTTTACCTCCAGAACTAACATGATGTTGTGATTATAGTGCTGCTCTAGGAGCCTCATGGTGCAGTGGTTATACTGCAGTAATGCAGCCAAAACTCTGCTCACGACCTGGGTTCAATCCGAGGTAGCTGGCTTGAGGTCCATTCAGCCTTCCATCTTTCTGAGGTCAGTAAATTAAATACCCAGTTTGCTAAGGGGATAATGTGTAGCTTGCACAATTAAACTGCAAACCTCCTAGAGCAGTGGTGTCGAACTGTGGCCCTCCAGATGTATATAAGCATCATGTTTTGCTTTGCCTTGGTCTAGAACTGGGTAATCTCAGCTCAAATCTCTGTTTTGCCTTGCAGTTCACTGGGTGACTTTGGGGTAGGCTCTTTCTCAGCCTAACCTGCTTGAGAGGGTTACTGTGAGGGTGAAATGTGCATGGAGGAGGACTGTGTATGTCCTCTTGAGCTTCTTCAAGAAAAGGTAGGATTAGTCACATAAAGGGGCAGTGTGGATTGTCCCCTCCCCTTACAGGCTTTCCCAGAACAAATACAGACGGATCATGTCCTTGTGTGGGTTTATTCATATTAAGAGTTAGGTGAGTGTGGAGGAGAACCACCCTCCTGAGGGTGATGTAAACTGATTTGGGGCATGGCTTTGGCTAGAATCTTCAATGTGCACCAAAGCTGTGTTATGTTCTGAAATTGTTTTTCCAGTTTTGAGAACAAAACATAATTTTTCTTGGTAAGCCTCTGAGAAACAGTAGTGATGCAAAATATCAGTGCACTGATGAGGAAGTAGCTTTTATCTGAATAAATGTTTTGCATATAAACCTACTTATGGTGTTCAGGCATTTATGCACCTGTCCCTCCCACCGTCTTGTTCAGTGTATGAAGTTCAGAAATACTGTATTCATGTTCTTTCCCCCTTTTTTCTTTTTCTTTTTCTTTTTCTTTTTCATGTTCTTCCCCCTTTTTTTCTTTTTCTTTTTCTTTTTCTTTTCTTTTTTTCTTTCTTTCTTTTTTTTTTTTTGCTTTATGCCTTCCTGAAGAATTCCTTCTCAAAATCAGTCATCAGTTTAACTCATACACAATTAGCCTTAAAGCCACAGAATGATCCCTGCAGCCTTTTCCTGCTTACGGTTTCACATTTTGATTTTGAGTGGAAACTGTTCATCCGGCATTTAGCCTATGCACTTCTAACCTTCATTTACAGAAGATTGGAACTGATAGGCTAATTGCAGCAAGAAGTGAGTCAGTGGCTTCTCCTCAACACTGAAATGAACTGAAATAAAGTAGCTACTAACCTAGGGCAGAGGGAATTGGTTTCATGTGAACAGCTTTAATTTCTTTTCCAAGGATCTGTATATCTCCCCAGGGCTGATTTCTGTGTCTGAGTGGCCACATGGCCCTTTAAAATGTCTGCCTCATGTCACCTAGTCACAGAAATGAGGTCTTCAGCTAGTACATTAACTGGGTTGTAAAACAACACAGCATGCACCAAAAAGATAGAAATATTCTGTGGTAGAATAGCTTTAGCTAGATCAAGATCAAGTTATGGCTTTTTTTTTTTTTTGAACACACAGAGAAAAAAATTCCTATATGAATGCTGGTAGCCCTTTCCTGTACCGCACTTTCACACTTCTTTCCATGCTCCACTCCTCTTCTTAGCCAAACACAGTCTTAAATAAAAGCATTAAAAGACAATGGCATTGGTCTTCCTTTTATTTGAGATGTTTGTTTAGTCTTTCTTTCCTTCGGTGCTACAAATCAATGACTTGTTGTGTAATAAACGAAAGAAGCCTCTCCCAAAATGAGTCTCCTTGTGGGACTGTACATTTGTGAAGTAGTCAGAAGTCGAGAGAGACCTGTGAGTATATCGTGTGTGGCAGAATTAGCTTATAGTTAATCATCTAAAGTGGCTTGAACACTGTTTTAGATGGAAGGGCAGTGTAGAGGTTTTGAAAGTCAGTATGCATTGACAGTCTGTTAAAGAACCATTGAAGATGATGAATGCAGAAGAGCCAGCAACTAGGAATTGCAGCCTCTCCTTCAGCTGTTTTGAGCCTAACTTCCTCCTGCACTTCATTACATTTATATTCCACCTGTCTTCTAATGAGCTCAGAGAGGTGAATATGGCTTTGTTTTTCCCTGCTTTATCCTCCCAGCAACCCTGTGAGGTAGATCAGGCTGAGACAGGAGTGACTATCCAAAGCAGCACAGGGTTTTTCATGATGCAGTGGGGGGGACTTGAACCAGCATCTCAAGTCCCAGTTGAGCCCTCGAGCCACTACACCATAATCATATTTACTGAACAGTATACTGAACAGTGGTTCACTTGTTGCATAGTTCTTCTGTATGTCAAGCAGGATGCCTTCCTTTTTAAAAATTTGAAGTGCAGCATGTTAATTAATTTAGAGAATTGCTGAATTTTTCAATCACTTTTTCTAGTCAAAATCGATATCTTACAAACTTAAAAAGCTGCTGTGGACGAGGATGGAGAGCTGACCTTGTAACATGATAGAATTCTAACCAACTAGTATTGAGTTTAGCTGGCTTGGGCAGCAAACGAGAAGCAGGGGTTTGCCTCTGAGCATAATCTTGAAGAGAAGAATTGTACAGTATGGGGGAAATTGACTCAGTGCTTGAAGAAAGGGTTTCTGGGAGAGCTTTAACAGGAATAGTGTGTATCACAAAAGTTAGACCTGGTGCACAACTCAAGGAAAGTAAAGTTTAGTCAAGAAGTACTTTTCTTATGCTTAAAAACATTGTTTCCCTCAGCTGAGAAGACGAATAAAATATTCATCTTTCTATTAAATGTTGATCTAATCTTGTATGTTTTGTAAAAATAATTTCATTGGAAGTACTTGCCATAAAACAGAATAAAGGTTCAAATTTTAAAATGTAACACACTGTCCCCTAAACCTCTAGATGTTGACGCATTGCTTTTTCAAGATTTTCTTTTCAAAATTCCTCCTCTTTCTCCCCCCTCCCCCCAATATAATCCTTTTCTAGGTTTTAGATATTGTGAAAGCAGGTGTCCGTTCGGTTCTGCAGCGTATCTGGAAAGTTTCAGATGTTGAATGTTTACATTTGTACCGACTTTTTAACCGTGTGTTTAATCGCTTGATGTGGAGCCATGGCCAAGGGCTGTGGAATTGTTTCTGCAATTCAGGGTAAGAACTGTGTATATATTTAAATTTACTGTGGTCTTTCCCAGCTAGTTTTATTTATACTTCTTATTAATAAATCTTAATATTTTCAGAATTTGTTTATGCATAACTTCAGTACTGGAATGATGGTGGATTAATTTTTTTAAAAAAGATATGCTTGCTTCAATTTATAAGCCCCCTCCTTTTCTTCAACAGAATGCTCGGAACTGAAATCAGAAGAATTGGTTAGTTATTATTTTCTTCTCCTTTGTCACTGTACTTTTGCCTTCTAGAGCAGGGGTCTCCAAACTCTTCAGTGTGAGGGCCACATCATATATTTTACACATTTTTGAGGACTGAAGGAGGGAAGGGGACCCCAAGCAACCCCCCACCCTTGCTGTCCTTGCAAAGACAGCGGGGGTGGGGAATTACTTGGGTCCCCCTTCCCTCCTCTTCCTATGCCCGGGCCGGATAAAAAAGGCAAGGCAAGCTGGATGTGGCCTATGGGCCGTAGTTTGGAGGCCCCTGTTCTAGAATCTGGTGATACTGAGAATCCATTCCACACATCCAAATTTGAAGCCTTGGAATTTGGTCAGCATTTTGTTCAAAGATATCTCTAACTGCCAGCGTGATCTTCATATCATTGAAAATTACATGGCCATGGTTTAACTTGGGCATTGGGTAATTCTGACCTGTGAGTCAAATGCTTCCTGAAGGGGTTCTCTTTCTATATCCCCAAAGCTTCTTTTGTGTTACCTGCAGTCAATTAATTGAGGCTACAAGGCCTATCCAGCTGCTGCATAGTCCAACCCATGTTGGAATATGGCCCTAAGACCCTTCCCAAATTGGTGGTTGGCTGTTGGGTTGAAGAAATTCCCTTACTCTTGGTTTCAATGGTTATTATTCCATTATTTCTCTAAACTGCTCATGGTTTCCTTGCTTTATTTTCTTTAAAATCCTGTGGGGCAAGTTATGCTAAGACAATGTATTCTCGAAGGCTTTCATGGCCGGGATCTGATGGTTGTGAGTTTTTTGGGCTCTTTGGCCATGTTCTGAAGGTTGTTCTTCCTAATGTTTCGCCAGTCTCTGTGGCCGGCATCTTCATGTTCTTCATGTCCATGTTCTGTCCATGTTTCTGATTTGTTTGCAGAAACTCAATAAACCACTTTGTAGAGCGCTTACTGCCTTTATCTTCTGTTTCATCCCGTTCAAAATGTTCATTATGCTTATTCACAGAGTAGTTGGTCAGATGCATATACAGCTGGTTCTAACGGAAAAAGAAAGGGAAGAGCATGGACAGAGTTCCTACTCCAGTCCTCTGAAGATGCCGGCCACAGAGACTGGCAAAACGTCGGGAAGAACAACCTTCAGAACACGGCCAAAGAGCCCGAAAAACCCACAACAGCCATATGCTAAGACACTTTAACTGGCTTGATGCATCAAGTAAATTTCATGTACTTTTATAGAGATTTTAATCTATATCTCCCAGATCTTAGCTCTGGACTATAATCATTGCACCACACTAGAGCTATATGTACCTTCATGTTTAATAGTGGCCTTTTGCTTGCTTGCATAATGTTTGTATAGCTCGCAACAGTTAATTAGTGAAGTGCCAGAGTGCATCTTGGTTGTGTGCCTGATCACAATTGGGGTGATGGGATTACACCCCGTCTGAAAACAGAGGTATGCAGCTTGGTGGTGCTCCTGGATTCATCTCTGAGCCTGGATGCCCAGGTTTCAGCAGTGGCCAGGAGCGTCTTTGTACAGTTAAAACTAGTGTACCAGCTATGCCCTCTTCTTGAGAGGTCTCATCTGGCCACGGTGACACATGCCCTGGGTACATCTCAGCTGGATTACTATAACACACAATCTATCTGGGGGTGCCTTTGGAAAGTGTTCGGAAAGTCCAGAGGGTCCACAATTTCTCAGACAGATTGATAACTGGGGCTGGTTACAGGGAACGTGCAACTCCCCTGTTACAGCAGCTCCACTAGCTGCTGATCCATTTCCAGGCACAATTCCAAGTGCTGGTTTTAGCCTATAAACCTCTAAATGGCTTGGGTCCCAGCTATCTAAAATACTGTATCTCCCTGTATGAGCCTGCTCGGGCATTAAGATAATCAGGGGAGGCCTTTTTCTTGGTCCCACCACCTTCACAGGCATGTTTGCTGGGGAGAGGGCCTTCTGTACTGTTGCTCCCAGACTCTGGAATTCCCTCCTACCAGGCTTGCCCCATCTTTGTTGTCCTTCCACAAGCAGGCAAAGACCTTTCTCTTCAGACAGACTGTTGGTTAGTGACCAAATTGATTTTTGTGTGTGTGCTGTTGCTTTTAAATGTGTTTTTAGTATTGACTTTAATTACTGCTTTTAATATGATACTTGTTTAATTCTCTTATAATATTTGTTTACATTGTTTTTAGCTTTTAAATAGTGTCTTTTAAATAATATAATCCACCTTGGGTCCTTTTAAGGAGAAAGGCAAGGAAAATATTTTAAATACATAAATAAACTGAGATGCACTCCAGCACCTTATCAATAAGATATGGCGATTTATGCAAACCTTGCATCAACCCCAGTAAGATTCTAGCAGGCATATTGTAGCAGACAGAGAGTTCAATTTTAGTCAGGGAAACTGGTACTCAAATCCCTCCTTTGCTATGAAACTGACTCGCTGGAGGGTCATGGTCAAACTGTTACCACTTCACTTGATCTGCTTCACACGCCTCTCACAAACTGGGATACCAACTCTGTACATTTCTTGGAGGATGGTTAGGAAGGAAAGTTCCTTTTGTTAACCCTCCTTCCATTGAGCTTATTCTAGACATGACTTATGAGGCAATCTTACGATTGAATCTCAGAGTCATCTTATCTTCCTCATGGCAACCCTGCACCATCATTTGGGTCATCACCAGCTTTAAAAGAGAAAGTAATTACCTGATCCAGGTAACCTACATGTTGCGGATCTTTTTAGATACTATAAGGCCAATGTCTAAGTTGAGATCTAGGATGTTTTTACAAATGACCTTGTGAATAATCCCTTTGTGCTCCTGTCATTTCTGAATTATTTATCTGTGTATGTGTGTGAGATTGAGAGGGGGACACTCAGAGAGATTTTTAAAATCAAATATGTTGTCTGAACTATGGCACAATAGTTTGGCTTTTTCCAAATCTGGTAACCATGGTTTGCTAGCTCGGGTTGAATTCAGGAACAGTGATAAATTGGATAGTTTCAGTGTTAATTGCTGTATTCCAATGTGTAATTAAGTCAAGATCTGACTGTCCAAACTAGGCAACTGAGTTTAGGAAGAGCTGTTTTTATAGCGATATAACACAGGAAATTTAGAATATAGAATCAAGAGTATATAACCTTTTGAGAGGGATTGGCTGTGCCATTCTTAATATATTTATTCTAATGCAAACAACATACTCTGTTCAGTGGGACTTTCTGGCAACTGGGTGTAGGATTGCACTTGGACTGGGTGTCTCATTCACTGGCCCAACATTTTGTTCAGTATGTTCTCCAAGGCAGACTGAGATGATTCCCTTTTTGTCTGTCAGTAGGCAAAAATGTTTTTATTCAGACAATCCACTGTGCACTGACTGGCTGCTCAGAAAAGCTATTTTAATGGTGGATGTTATTTTCTTTTCCCCCTTGGTGCTTTAAAGCAGTATTTGAATAGTTTTAATTTTGTGGTTGTTTTAATATGATAACTTACTTAATTTTGTCTTTAATGTTACAACGTGCTGTGATTTTCACTTGCATCTGTTTTTAATCCACCTTGGGGTCCTGATGGGGGAGAAAGGAGGGATATAAATAAAATAAATGAAGATAATTCCATTGGAATCCCAACAGGACGGAGACTGGTAAAGTGCACACTTCAGAATCCTGCTTACCTAAAGGAATACTTCCTACTTCACATCAGGCTTTCTTGTTGAAGCTCACCCAGTAAAGATATATGTTGCATGCTTTATTTTGAGGACAAACTCAAGGGCAATGGCTTCTGTCAATTGGATGGGAGACTATCATACTTCTGTTTTATTTCTTTTATTAAATCTTGTACACATGATGGGCTGTATTCTGGTTACCACCTTCATTTTAGCAGATGGATTGGAATGTCAGACAGTTGCTTGAACCTTGATCCATGGCCCAGCTTATATGATAAACTATTTGAAAGGGCATTGGAAAGGCCTTCAGTCCTAAACCCTAAACTACCTTGCCAAAGAAGCTTTGTGGCACTCATTGAACAACCCGCTTGTGGAGCTTTCCAAAACTGATGGTTAACTTAATAATTTGTGTTTTATATTTCTGACCATCTGGTGTTGAAATAGGGTGGGTTCTTTACTGTATTATCTCTCTCTTTTTCCCTCGCTAAATCTCTCATGTAGAGCAGTAAAGCTTTTAGCTTGCCATTTGTGACAGAAAACATGAGGTCATGTCTGTTTCCATGCCAACAGGAGCTCCTGGGAGACGATATTCAGTAAAAGCACAGAAGCGGTGACTGCCGATCAGCTCCAGTGTTGCCAACGAATAGTTGAGCTTTGTAAACAGTGCCTGCTAGTGGTTTACAAATACTCTGTGGATTCAAGACGGTCCCTCACTGGAATTAACCCTGACTGGGATGATACAAGGTAGATATGCTATGTTGATTTCAGCATCCTAGAATCGAACATGTATCTTCAGATGTAGATGGACCGTAAGCCAGCATAGCCAATGTGAAGAAAGATGGTAGTTGTAGTCTAACAACATCTGGATTGCCACAAGAGCCCCACCACCCAACTTTTAATTCCAGGAGCAGTGCAGGATTGCAAACATCTGATGATACTCTGCTCTGCTTTCTGTTAACAAAATATATCAACATATGCTTTGTTAAGCAGTTGTTCATATGCCCAGAGGTCCACCACTGCACTATTAGCTTCTGATTCATTTCAGTAAGAAGACACATTCCCTCCCTGCAAAGTCATTCTGGATTGGGTCCCTTTAGATCGGCAGTGAGGAACCTTGGAACCTCTGAGTCTTTGGATTGAAACTCCCTTGTTCATTGGTTTTGCAAGGTGGGGCATCTGGGAGTTGAAGTACAAAACATCTAGGGAACCAAAAAATTCTCTATCTCTGATTGAACGAAAGTAGATCAGCTTGTGTATGGAGGAAGACATTTAACATCCCCCCCAGAGAATAAGAACCTCTCTAGATTCTGTTGTGTATGTAGAATTTGTGCAATCATATATCCAGTGGACGGTGTCCTCTGCTTTTCAATTAATGGAGAGCCAAATCCAGTTTTGTAAAAACAAGTGATACACATTTCATAATCTTAGACAGCAAGAAGAAAAATGACTTTTCAGTTGGTTACAGTGCTTGAAAACCTTCCCCCACACATCTTTTAATTTATTCTTGAGTCTTCTCCCTGGGGTCAGTATAAGTGGTGTGGTAAAGATATCTTTGTCACTGGGTGTAACGGCAAGCTTATAGGTCATGATCAGTAAGAGAAGTGAAACTGCCAGTGTTTATTTTGTGTGTGTGTGTGTGAAAACTGTAATATTGAGTGTTGGGATAGATTGATCTTCAACTATTGAAAACTTTGCAGAATGGAGCATATATAATGAAACTTAGTTGGATTTGCTGGGCTCTCTGTCAGCTGCTTTTGTTATATAGTGCCAAAGGTGACTTTTGTACTTTTAAATTATTACTAGAACAGAGAAAAGAAAATGTACTTCTTCACATAATTCATAACTAACTTCCAGAGGTTTTAAAACCAGGGACAAGGAACCTCTGGAGTTGTGTTGCAAGAGCACAACTTTGTTAATCCTTGACCACTGAGCATGTTGGCTGGAACAAGTGGGAGTTGGAGTCCAGCAGTATCAGAAGGTCCGAAGCCCCTTTTCCCTTTGCTTTAAGTTGGATAAAAGAGGTTTAGGCAAGACCTTGGAGGGTGGGTCTTTTGATAGCTAAATAGGCATGTTACCAAAAAAGGGACCTCCCGAATGCAGAGAACTTCTCTCTCTCTTTTTTTAAAAAAAAACTTTTTATTTTTAACAAGGGGTGGCAAAAAGGAAAAAGGGAATTGAGGTTAAGAGGGAAGAGGAGAAACAATAACATATAAACATCCATTCTATACATATTGCCATATCAAAATTCCAGTTTACTCTTTTTACTATTTTCTGCCTTCCAGATTTAAGTTCTCATTTCAATGTATGCTGTGTTACAAAAACAAATCAACTTTTTGCTTTTTCACAGTTTGATTACCCTCCTGCTTTCATCTTATCATTTAATTTTAGTTTAATTCTGTGTTACTCCAACACTATCTGATAACTGCAGCCATTTATACAATACATCCCATCGTTCAGTTTCCTTTTGAATTGAACAGTCTTTCAGCCCATCTGACAGAATATCCATTTTTTTGTCACTTCCCATATTTTCACAATAAGATTCTCTTGTTTCAGTATCTCTGTTTTCTTGAGATTTTTAACATAATTCTTTTTTAATTATGTTAAAGCGGAGGCGGAGGCAGAACTTTTCTCCACAGCAATGGATTGCCTTCTGTCGGAAATGGATGGGATGTTGCTCAAATCCAACAGAGAGCTCTTGTATTCTTATGCTTTTACTTTCTTTCACAAAGGAGCAGGATACAGAAAGGACTCTGTTTGTAGGAATTCTTTATCCTAGCATGTGACATTGTCTAGTGCAGCTGTCTTCCCCCTACACACAGTGATCATGTTAGGTTCCAGGCATGGTGGAACCCTGTGCGTGGGTGGGGTGGAGTCACGCAAAGAGAAAGGACTCTGTAGGAATTCTTTATCCTAGCATGTGACATTGTCTAGTGCAGCTGTCTTCCCCCTACACACAGTGATCATGTTAGGTTCCAGGCATGGTGGAACCCTGTGCGTGGGTGGGGTGGAGTCACGCAAAGGAGCAAAGTCATGTGAGAGAGAGGTGGTGCCCCACCCAGTAGAGCCGAAAGTTGGAGGGTATGTTGGTTCCCACATGTTCTTGGACTATAACTCCCAGAAATCTTGATCAGCACAGCTAATGGTGAAGGCTTCTGGGAGTTTTAGTGCAAGAGCCACCTGGGGAACCAAGGTTCAGAACCACTGTTTTACATCATCCAGGACCTGACGTGCTACTGTAAGTTTCTTGGCTGCATTAATTGCAATGTTACAGAGTACCGTATTTTTCGCTCCATAAGACGCGCCTTTCCATAAGACGCACCAATTTTTTAGGAGACGAAAACAGGAAAATACAATCTGTTTTCTTCGCTCCATAAGACGCACAGACTTTCCACCCCCCTGTTTTGTGGGGGAAAAGTGCGTCTTATGGTGCGAAAAATACGGTATTTCTACCACATGAGGGAGCTTTCTGATACAAATCTACTCTTGACTCTGAACATTTGCACAGAGAAAAATTTGCATGGAGAACATTTTTTCAATTGTTTTTGGTAGTGCATGTGGGTAAGAGACACTGAAGTATATGGGTAGTCTGGATCACCAAAATGATGTGTCTCCAAAAATTAGAAAAAGGTAGAAAAGCAATTGAAAAGGTAGGAAAGCAATAAATGCCCATATGGATAACTTATGAACAACTACAACAAATTTACAGGTCAACAGTACCTCCATCAGTAATTCACAGAAAATCAGACTTTGAAAAGGAATATATTTTGCTGTCCTAAGAAAGACAAAAATGATAAGCACTTGAGAGTGGCTATAGGAAGGAAAATTACTTCTGTCCATTTATAGAAGGATAACCAGGGGCGCACTGGGACTGTGCAGCTTGCCCAAAGCCACAAAGGCTGGCTCTTTTCCTAGGAAGCACAAAGAGGAATAAAAATTTATAGAAGGATAACCTTCTATAAATGCTGTCCTTCAAGCTCTGTTCATTTCTCTTAATTTCTAGGCTCACTCTGAAATGCTTCCATTACTTTTCAGTACTGTTGAATTTTCCTTCTTATTTTTTGTTGGCATATAACTACCGGTAGTCATCAGAATAGCTGTCTGGGTGGCTCAGTGGTTTAGGTATCTAGTTGCAGAACCAGAGGCTGGGAGTTTGATTTCTCTTTGTACTTCCTAGGAAAAGAGCCAGCCTTTGTAGCTTTGGGCAAGCTGCACAGTCCCAGTGCGCCCCTAGAAGAAAGGAATGGCAAATCACTTCTACCTAGAAAATCCTGGAAAGGGTCTCCATAAGTCGGAATTGACTTGACAAAACACTCCTCCTCTTCTTCTTCTTCTTCTTCTTCTTCTTCTTCTTCTTCTTCTTCTTCTTCTTCTTCTTCTTCTTCTTCTTCCTCTTCCTCTTCCTCTTCCTCTTCCTCTTCCTCTTCCTCCTCTTCTTCTTCTTCTTCTTCTTCATTACACTGTCTGGAATATTTCAGCCAGCAGTCATGCTGCCCATGTTAGCTAACAAGTTCTGGGAGCTGTCATCCTGAAAAGTAACATTACCAAGTTTCATCCAGTCCCTGCCATGACCCAGTTTCAGCCTGGCACCTCTTGTTCACTGACCAACATATCTTATGTTACTGATTGCTGACGTAGAGTGGGCATAGCATGCATAGAATGAGGTTGCAGCTGTGTCACATTTGAGTTGCAGAAAGGTAGCAGGCACCATCTGAAAGAATAGCGTAGAGTTTGGAAACATTACGTGGTGGACTATAGCTCCCGTTATCTTCTAGCTGTGTTCGCTGGAGGAATGATAGTCTGAAAAGTAAGAGCACAAAGCTGTGGATAGAGAACAAACAATTTGTGACTTCATTGTGATCAAATTGAGAGCAAGGTCTTAGGCCCATTCTATCCTTGCCTTGGCTGTCTGTGAGCTTTTAGGGCAGAAATAGCTCTTTTCACTTGTGCTAGTAACCATTACCTTCCAATTCTACAGATTGCCTCTATTTACTTAATAGTGTTCCTGAATGCAAAGAATAAATCCAAAAATGTTTAAAGCTAAATTCAGTACCTCTAGATCATTTGAAACAATAGGTGTCAGACCAGTTCCTTGGGTATTTGTTGTTTTTCTTGTAAAAAAAAATGTAGTGGTGTTACATAAGCTAATGTCAGCTGTGGAAAAAGAAGAATGTCTTTAGGCATAGACAACTCAACAGTGCAAAAATAAATCATATGCACCATGAATATGTTGTTACAGTTGAATGGTGATCCAACATTCGTCAGCTATGCTTAGTGCTTGTTTTTTTATTTATTTATATTGCAGATAATTATTTTAATTGGATGTCTGTGAATACGTCAAACTAATCATTCTCTGTGTTCTGCCGCTGACAAATGTCTGTTGTCGAAAGGCATGAAAATACTTCTCTTGTTCCTGTCTGGTGGGTGGAATCCCATGCAGAAGTTGTCTTAATTTCTCAGACAATTACATGTCTTAAAATCAACCTCTCCCTCCACCCCCACTTTAACCTACAAAGAGTTCTGTTACCCCTCATTGGTTTTTGGTACAACTTGAAATTCCTTTCTAACCCAGTAACATTAGAATGATTTGAGGTCTTTCCATTGGCTGTGATGATGTTTAATGGTATTGAATGCACCCTGAGGAGTTTACTTTGCCATTTTACACACTTCATTGGATTTGTTCTGGTAGAAAGGAAACCCTAAATATACACAATGATCCATTAGAACAGGCCTTTGTTTACAGTAAATTCATTGGAAGCTTTTGTTAATGGCAGCCTGACTTCAGCATAGGCTTGTGTGCCAGTACTTAGTAATTTTTGTAGGAGTAATCATCATGAGTATTCCGGAGCATGCTGAGTATTCATCCATCAACAGGGTTCCACACACCAATGTAACAATTTCTGAATAGCACACTTTATTATGTGTAGTTGTAATCGGTTCTAGCATAATACATTCCTCCTTATGCAGCTTCCATTTACCATAGGTGTTATTTTTATGTACTTTTAGAACATTTATCTAATAACGGCAAGTAATTATAGTACATCTGTAATGGGAAATAGATTAAAAGGTGATTATAAGACAATTTATGATAAATTAATGTTTGTAGGAGTCTACTTCGGCTTCTTTTAACACAGCCTGCTTTCTAAGGAAATAAATTAGAGAGTCATTGATGAATGGTGTATTAGCAGTGTGCTAAACTCAGTTGCAGATTATATCACAACATTAAATAACAGTCCACTTTAGTCTTATATCCCAGCATTTGTTAACAGCATTTCCAGGCTGGGGCTTGCGCGAACAATTTAGAGTGATGTACTGTGCTCTTTCTCATGACCTAGCTGTAGTAGTTACATCAGTAGTGATATAAATGGGAGAGGGGGCCAGATTGCCTGCTTTTAAGAAAAGAGGAGGTTCATGAGTTGGAAGGTCTCTTAAATCCCCCTCCCTCCACCAAATGACTAAAGTAATGCAGCATTATTGTGGCTGTTTTTGAAGTTTTAAAAAAAAGTAGCAATCAACTGGTGTGGGTGTGTGGTAGTGATGGAATCGAAGAGTTATGCCTCAATTTGAAAAGTTGTGTCTCTTGTCATAAGAGATGCCATCACACAATTTAGTCCGTGTGTTTAAAAGTAGCATGGCTGCATGACCCACTAGAAGAAGAGCAGCGCTTGAGGATAAACACAGTCTATTTCAAATCCAAAACTACTGTAGTTCCGGAAGTGTGAAATAAATTGGAAAGCTATGTTGTTGTTTTTTATCTCTCCCACCCTCCACCCTGTTCTTATCCTAGCTAAGTCTTAGATTTCTTTTTCCAAAAGAAATTTGCCTAATTGTGCTGCCTTCACTTATTTACCTTTTCCCCCCTAGACTCTTAGATGTAGGGTTGGGGGATATTTGGTTCTCCAAATGGGATTTCTTGTTTTCCTTAACCTTAGTCTACATATTTAGGGGAAGCATGTGACATAGTCCGCTTAGGATTGGTTGACTTTGGATGTTATAATAATAATAACCTTAAAACTGCTGAGCTGGAAGGGACCCTCTGGATCATCAAGTCCATCCCTTGTCAAGGAGGCACAGTGGGGAACTGAACTCCCAACCTTTGGCTTTGCAGCCAGAAACCTAAACCACTGAGCTATTTAGCAGTTCTTGGTGGGAGGAATGTGTATTGAAACCCCTTTCCACATTTTTAAATCCCTACACAATTTGCTATGGCAAGAACTTTGTATAGCATAGGGTACATGTAAGGTACCCTATGCTATACAGGTAAGTGGGTATAGGATAGCAGCTTGACTTAGCGTTTTCCCTGTTGGGCTAGACCTTCATGTATGGAGAGTTTTCTGAAACATGAGCTTCCCTCTTTCCCTGCATTAGCGTTGACAAAACTACAGTGAAATTGTGAAAGCTGTATTGGCCTAGTGACCAAATGGGTTCATTTCAGCCCACACTGGACTGAATGTATGCTATGTCAACAAGGTGCAAAACCACTGAAAATATTTTTCTAGAGCAATAAAAATTGTGAGTACTTCAAACTTAAAAGGCAGTGTTTTTAAATGTAAAGCAAACTCTGTATTAAAATGAATGCAATGCAAAATGTATTAAATTCTTTAAATTTGCAATCTTGCTGAAAATATTTGGTCTTTAATGATTTCTTCAGGGGTATGAAGGAATTGCAACAAATGCAGAATTTGGGGTACATTCCAGAGAAAGGTAGGCATGCCAGAGTCCTATAGAAACCAATAGAACTTTAGTGTTTACTGTACCATTAAAACTCATAGACAGAAGTCTTTATACAGTATAGCAGCTCCACTGGCTGCTGATTCATTTCCATGCACAATTCAAAGTGCTGTTTCTAACCTATAAAGCCCTAAACAGCTTGTGCTTAAGCTCTTTCAAGGAGTGTCTCTTCCTTTTTGATCCTACCTAGCTATTAAGATCATAAGGAGAGGCCCTTCTCTCTGTCCCACCACTATCACGAGTGTGTTTGGTGGGGACACAGGAGAGGGTCTTCTCTGTTACTGCTCCCAGTACTCTGGAACTCCCTCCCACAGGAGGCCAGGCTGGCCCCATCTTTGCTTTGTTCTTCCTAATGTTTCGCCAGTCTCTGTGGCCGGCATCTTCAGAGTCCTGTATCCTCTGATGATGCCGGCCACAGAGACTGGCGAAACATTAGGAAGAACAACCTTCAGAACATGGCCAAAGAGCCCGAAAAACCCACAACAACCATTAGATCCCAGCTGTGAAAGCCTTCGCGAATACATACTGATATTCTGTTTGCATATGTGGATAATTGAATCCAGCAGGGAAAGCTTTGTGGGAAGCCAGAATTTAGGATGGTGGTTTACTGCATCCAATAAGCTAGAACATGAAACTGGTTCTGGAACAGGATTTGTTGCTAGTTTGTGATTCCTTGTTTGTTTGGGCTCAGGGAGCCTTCATGGTTGATTCCAATATCACGACAAGCCATCTTGCCCTCGCTGGATCCCTGTGCAAAGAAGAGGGAGCCAGTGAACTGTGTGCAGGGTTGGCATGAGCAAGCCTGTGGCCTGATGTAGAAGAGCAGACATTAGCTCCTGTCTTTTCCAGCCTCTTCTCCCTTTTCCCATCCCTGTAGTCACAGGGATGAATACAGGGATAATCCCCGTCAATGTCTTAATGTAAAGGTATCCTCAAAATAAACTGGCTCAGTGAACAGTCTGGAATGCTGCAGGGGCTGCTTTCTGGTTGCAGTGTTTTCTGCGGCAGGAATGTGTCCAAGCAGGTTCCCAGTGAGTCCATCTGATGGCATTGTTATACTTGTAATTACTGTTTGCTATACTTTAGTTAGAAATAAAGAAATTCATTATAAGTACATTCTTTATTTCCAGTTAGTAACTTAGAATCTTTGGTCACAAGGTTGACACCAGGACGGGAAAGGTCAAAGTGACATATAACAAAATATAAGCTTGCATTCCACCCAAAAACCAAAATTCTGTAGCTTAGCATAGTGAATCACCTTAAGAGTAGGCCCATTGAATCAGTGGGGATTTGGTGAGTCATCTTCTCCATAGAGTCCTTTGATTCAATTTGGCCTGCTCTATGGCGACTTAATTTATCATACATAGTAAGCTATAGCTAGTGTAGACCCATTTGAATCAGTAGAACCAATGGAGGAGTTAACTCACCAAACCCCCATTGATTCAGTCCAATTTACTATGCTAAGCAACAGGATTTGGGCCATTGTGTGCTCATGCCTGTGTGGCAGTCATTTATTTACCTCTGTATGTTTGGAAACTTTTGAATACCACCTTAGATACACCTTACTTTCTCTGAATTTTACCTCAGTGTCATAAGTACCCTTGTTACGCAAGACAATAAAGGTTTATTTTTGTGGTGTTGGGGAAATATATAAGAGAAAGCTGTTTTCTTATCATGAACCAACATGGCTGTTTTTTTCCTTACCCCAGCAACTCTACTGTATTGTGCCAGAGTCCATAGATACTGATTCAACTAGTATCTGACACTTATTTAATTTCTGTGGGTTCCCCCCCTTCTCTCAATCTTCCTTTCTTTATCTTTTTTTTAGGTATTCACTGCCAGGACCTTTGCAGCTCATCATGAAACCTTCTACTGGTTTTGGGCGTACCTCATCTGCAATGACTCGCTCTATATTGTTTACACCTAGATATGACCACTCATGAAACAAGCGGGAATGTTATATATAATGGGCAATTGGTTTTATTTCTTCTTCTTCTTCTCAATTTCAAATGTGCAATGAAATTGAACATAGGCACTGTTATAAATTTATTATAATATATAAAATGTAGGTCAAGAACCTGCTGTAAACTTGTAACCTTTCTGGAAATATAATAAACCTTATTAAAATGTTTACAGAGATATGCAAATATCCAAATCTTGCTAGGTTTCTAAGTAATTCCTCCATAATGTTATTTTCCTGTAGAGTTGCTAGAACTGAGGAACTTTAGAGTTGGGGGAATGCCCCCCTCATGCCTCTGGAAAACTAGATACTGTACAGCGCTACCATTACACAATTGTTGTTAGAACACTCTGCTGGCAGAGGCGTTCTGCTGGTAAAGCTACAGCAGCCAAGAGGCTGCAGTGGTGCAGAGTTGAGTGTTGCATGAGGTTAAGCTAGAGCTTGAAAGTGGTTTTGGACTGGCCGAGGGATTCCAAAAGTTGTAGCCCCCAAAAAGTAATTCTTCTCACATTGTGGGTGAGGCAAGTTTATATTGTAATCTGTATACCTTCATTCCTATTGCCACAGCTGCATTGACCGCACAACTTTGCACCAGACTCAGACCTGGTGTACCTCAGACTTCCCATCACTTCAGTTGCCCCACTAAAATGACCATGACAGAATATTGGATGCTATACTTAATAACAGCATACCCCCCATCCATAGATAATCCCCACACCGTGAGACCGAAACATGGATGACTTGGCAAACAGAATCAGGTTGGCCTTGAGGATGGATTATTATTCACAGGGGGAACTTTGCTGAGGGAAAGTGGAAGGGCACCTTGCACAAAAAGGCAGTACTTTGCACAAGCAGCCTGTCTCCAGGTTCTGCACAGGGCTTTGAGCACATGGTTAACTCTTCTTTGTCAGCCAGAACCGTAACAGGTCCTTACCTTGAAGATCCAGACAGAAACATTTAGCACCAAAACCCACTGCTACAAACTCTGGGCACTAGGACAGAGTACCAGGCACAGGTAAAGGTAACTTTGCTACAAAAATTACAGATGCTGTGGCTCTTTCAGCCCCCCTCCCCCTTTGCTAGATGTGAAAAACATGTCTTATCTGAGATGTATTGCTGTTGATGTTCTTTCTCCCCTCAATCCCAGATGCTAAGCAATAAATACCATTCTCATGCTACATGTGTTGTGCCTGTGTTTGCCATGGATCTTTTACCCCACGTGCATAGGTGAGCAACTGCCAAGCACAGTGTGTGGAGCAGGAATAGAGACCAAGGGAAACAGCCCATAGTTCCCACCCTCCAGGTATGCGGGCTTGAAACAGAATAAAGAAATGCAAGGGATCGGCAAGCAGACAGTCTGTCCTGGACACCTAATAGAATATGCAGGCAGGGAGAGCTAACTGCTCACAGATACAAAGATCATCTAGTACTTGACTGGCAGCTAGCTAACCAACAAGCCCTAGTGCTCCAGGAGCAGCCAGATTAATGGGAGCTTTGCACCAATATTGGCCATACCCTTTTGGGGAAGCCCCTCCCTTCCAGCCTCATCTGCTCAGGAAGATTACAGCATGCCCATTGATCCAAGGAAATGGCCACTGGCCCATCAGGACAGAAACTGATAGTAGAAGGGAGACCTTTCTTATACACCAGAAGGAAATACACAGGGAAGTGAGCAGGGGATGATAAATCAAGTGGCTGGGGGAGCAAAGGACCAAGGAAAGCTCTTATGTTAAAAATAAGTATGAGCACAGTGAGAAGGGGGTGGTACATGTAAGGATTTCTTCATTCCTAAGGCAGTGAGGATGGCACTCTGTACTGTCTATGCAACTTGCCGATGATTGACTGCCACTGGATTTCATCTTGCAAGGGAGCAGTTTTTAGTGTGTTCCTGGGTGGCTGACCTGGCTCCGGATCCTGCACATGTGGGTCAGGTAATGTTTCTGGGTTCCTGTATAGTCCTCTGCAAATCCATCAGGATCCCTTGCTGGTCCATCATTGAGTGCTGCTGTCAGAGCCAGCACATATCACCTTGCACCTATCCATAGCTATGGTGCGAGGTGACAAGGAGAAAAGGTAGCCAATGGGTCCAGAAAGATCAGACTTTCTTTTTCCTGGAAAGTTGGTGAATTGTTTTGCCCATTTACACATATGAGCCAACAACAACTTCATTGTGTTTTTGGCCATAGTAACAGACTTCTACAGGGACTGTGGCTGCTAACCATGCATGTGGAGGGAGGGGCACAGTTCCATGACAACTGTGTCTCTGTTCATCCTCCACAGGTAGGCTCCCACACAATATCCATGTGGGCATCCTCATGCATGTACTCTGAGACTGATGGTCTGTGACCGTGTTTCCGTACAGCAAGTATGTCACTCCCCTGTTCCCTCTGATATAGGTTACTGGCATATTTATCTCTTGCTGTCCAGTCCAGGGTTCCGTACACATATGATACTGCAGCCATTCTGTTGGTTGCATAGCCCTATTCTCAACATAACATAAAGATAGGATTGATCTAATATTTTTGATCTTGGTACTGCAGTATTGTTTTATCAGCACAATGCCTTTGAATATTTATGTAAAACCTATCTACCATGTTCCCACGGAAATAAGACAGGGTCTTATATAAATTTTTGCTCCAAAAATGCATTCGGGCTTATTTTCAGGGGATGTTTTATTTTGTTTCATGTACAGCACTCTACATCTATTCAAATACAGCCATGTCATCGTACAGCACTCTACATTTATTCAAATACAGCCATGTCATCTTCTTTTGGTTGCTGCACAGTGGTGGAGGGTGGGGTTTCACTTTATTGGGGCTTATTTTGGGGGTAGGGCTTGTATTAGGAGCATCCTGAAAAGTCATACTAGGGCTTATTTTCAGGTTAGGTTTTATTTTTTGGGAAAACAGGGTATGTCCCATGTATGTACTGATACATTGTTGGAATAGAAGATATGGACTAGGAAAACAAAGGAGGTAGTGAAGTTCCAAATATGATTATTTCTATAGCACACCTAAGGAGAAAAGTCAACATTAAAACCCAAAGTCCCTTCTGACATTGTCTTACCATGAAGAGAATTATGAGACTGTATAATGTAAAAATTACGGAATGGGCATGTGTGAAGGGGCTGTAGAGAAAAAGAAGAAAGACCAGAGTGAGCTATCTCCTCAACTAGAGACACCTGAGATGAAAGGGGAAATGGAGGCAGGAAAGATAATAGAAAGTGAAGAGGAAATTACGGAATGGGCATGTGTGAAGGGGGTGTAGAGAAAAAGGAGAAAGACCAGAGTGAGCCATCTCCTCAACTAGAGGCACCTGAGATGAAAGGAGAAATAGAGGCAGGAAAGATAATAGAAAGTGAAGAGCTGAATGTAGAGGAGGAGAAAGAAAAGGAATCAAAGAGGGAAAAGGTTGAGATTTGTATGGTGGAAGAGAGGGGGGAAGAGGGGAGGAGTTAATTTTACCCGTGTGGGAGGAGGAAACAGGAGAGGAAGGCAGAAGGAGATAATTCAGAATACCGGTGACAGGAGAAAAGAAGGAAGGAGAAGAAAAAGACAAGAGAAAAGAATTGGAATATGATAGAATGCACGGGTTGTTAGAGGACATCCCTAATTTAAAGGTAGGAGGATTACTACCTGATCCATACATCTAAGGAGAGGGGGACATCAATGGATCCATTAGAATGGATGGTCGTGGTTTTTCCTTGGGGACAAGGTCCCTCAAGGAAGGTGATTTATCGATGGATCTGTTAGAATGGATGGTCGTGATTTTTCTGTGGGGACAACTCAATGAAGGTGATTTTGTCTAGACTCTTCCTTCAACCAGCCACCACCAGAGGGAGATCGGGCCAGACACCCTTGTTGTGGGACAATTTGCGCGGTCCGGAGTGCTCCGATGAGGAAGCCCACTGATGGAGAACGTTTTGGGCCAGCTCCCCAATGAATCCTGTCAATTCTAAGACAGAATTGTTGTCCCCACAGTATGGACAGTTACCTGATACCAGTTTGAACCTGTAGAAGTTATTGCTGATTTACCTAATGTTAAACCAAATAAAGCTGTTAATGTTCAAAAAGAGACTCAGTTGTCATTTCCTGCCAAAAGAGAGGAACTGCTCCAGATCTTCAGTGAACCCAATCACAGCATGTTATGATCTCTTTCATTTTAAGTGTAGGTCATCCACTGGGTAAACGATTTGCAACCATCAATTCTGATCTGCTTCTAGCTAGAGCCTTGTAACAAAAAACAGAGAATAATGGTTAATCTTAGTCTTTCGTCCTTGGTATCTTCAGCCTTTTGATTTCTTCGGAAGGATATGACTTCTTCAGACTTGTGCAGGTTTTCTACAAATTGACAAAGCAGACGTCTTTCAGAATAATTATGATCTTCCAGGGTTGTGCAGTGTAGTGCACTTTATTGCATTGCAAAGGGAATCCTCTGACATAGTATTTTCTGCAAAAAGCATGAAGATTGGGTTTGGAAATGTAATTACCTAGCAATGGATCCCTTTTTAGGAAGACTTGGTTTTCCAGACCAGGAGACCAAGAAATGGGTAAGAAAGTGTCATAAGAACGTGTCAACATGGCAAAACAACAGGGAATATCATGCAACTCATGAATAACAGTTCTGTCCAGTATGCCTTTGGACATTTTGCCTCTCTTAGCACAGTCAAATGATGATCTTATTCTGGAAAGAAGCAGGAGAAAAGGCCCACCTGTTATACCAGGCAAAATTGCTGCTGAAAATGGCATTTTTTTTACTGATACAACTACTTAGAATAATTTTAATTCTTCTGAAGTTCTTGAAAGCAAAGTAGTTACCAGGTCAAAACTTGGCCTGGCAATAGCTAATTAGCTCTTCATGGAGTTCAGCATAATCATTCTGCTGTCTTCCCCAGCTCCATAAACCCACAGTCCAAATAGAACATTGAAATGAAATATTGCAAGTAATGTCGGACAATAGTCCTACATAACTTGCAATATTTTATTTCAAAGTTCTGTTTGAGATATAATGGAGGCATAACAAAGTTACTTTCCAAAAGTAACAAGTTGGATTGACTGTTGGTGTAACCAGTAACACTTTCTCAGTACTGTTTAAAAAGTTACTTTTTAAGAGTAATTCAAGACCTTTTTAGAGGCATTTTGGCAGGAAATTTGCCGTGTTTTACACTATTCTCTCAGCA